CAGTCTGGGCGACAGAGTGAGACTCCAACTCAAAAAAAAAAAAAAAAAATTACATAATCTTCCATTTTGTAAAATTTTATTTAGTTTAATTTTTTGTATGTGTGCTATTACTTACTACCCTGGAGCCAACATCCTTTTATGGACATTTTGAACATTTTTATATGGTTTTCTCATGATGTTCCTCTAGAGTAACTAGTTAAGTAATTCATGTTCACTAACTTAAATATCCACAAATTAAAATAACCATAATATGTAAATTTTCACCTATCAAATGGGCAGTGATGTTCTCCAGTGTTGTTACGGGTGTAGGAAGCTAGGTGCTCTCAAACGTTTCTGTTGGTGTGTAAATTGGGAGAATCTTCCTTGAAGGCAGCTTGGAAATATGTATCGAAAGCAGCTGCCCTGGTTTTTCATTTTTACAGATGTTTTATGAGAAAACCTGATTTTCCAAGATCTTATTGGAAAGGAATCACATTATATATATATATATATGTTGTAAATCCAATCCCAACATAAAAGAATTTTCTTAGGGATATTCCAAATAATGAAGCCAGGTGCCCTGAAGATTTCCTGAAGTGTGCTTTTAAACACTTAAAATTTCTTTTGACACCTATATAAATCATCATTGCCTTGGGACTCTATTCAAAACAAAACCAAGATTTTGTTGGTGGTAAGGCAGGGTGGGAACAAATCTGCTTCTTTTTACTCTGGGCCTTCCCAAATGGGTAAGATCTTTAAGCACTTTCCTGACATTTCTTGCCTTTAAATGTTGTATTTCTGTATCTTAATTGCATATATTGATGGAGACGCTGTGGTTGTAGAATTTGTGTACAAAGTGTGAAGTCTGGAAGTCCAGAGAAGAACTTGACGTTGTTCATGCTCTGATGGTTGCACGTTGTCTTGTTGGCAAGTTCAACTTTCCTCACTTGTTTTTGGGTGTAGGTGGCACCTGGGCTCTTGGGGCCCCTGCTCAGCTACCTGTGGTGTTGGAATCCAGACCCGAGATGTATACTGCTTGCACCCAGGGGAGTCCCCTGCCCTTCCTGAGGAGTGCCGAGATGAAAAGCCCCATGCCTTACAAGCATGCAATCAGTTCGATTGCCCTCCTGGCTGGCACATTGAAGAATGGCAGCAGGTAGGGCAGGCTGACAACTCCAGGCCCCGCCATGCACATGACTGTGGAAAGCTCTGCATTGCACTAGCAGAGTAGGCCAAGTCCACCACCTCACCCCATCTTGTCTTCTTAGTGTTCCAGGACGTGTGGTGGGGGAACTCAGAATCGGAGAGTCACCTGTCGGCAGCTGCTGACGGATGGCAGCTTTTTGAATCTCTCAGATGAATTGTGCCAAGGACCCAAGGCATCGTCTCACAAGTCCTGTGCCAGGACAGACTGTCCTCCACATTTAGCTGTGGGAGACTGGTCGAAGGTAAGGGCCATGCTCAACCTTACAGTCCCTTCTTTTTTTCCCCTCCTTTGTTTCAGCCTTTAAGTATTTTCTTCACAAGTTCAGGCTGAGATAGTGAACGAGTGTGGGATGGTTCCTAAAATGCCAGATTTAAGGAGGTTCTCACTCACTCTCAGGGTTGTGCAAGTGCCCTATTCTGAGCCCACACGCCATGGTTCATTTCCAGATCTTACTCAATATTATTCAAACTGTTCTCATATTTTTCTCCCAAACCAGTCCCTTCTTTTGGAACTACCAGAATTGCAGTATTGCAGGGTAAACTCAAAAGCAGTTTGGTTCCTCTCTTCCTTTTTGTCCCCTCATATGGAATCATTCATTAAGCCCTGTCATTCCAACTTTTTGAACATCTTCCAACCTTGACTTCCTCTACATTCTGTCACTAGCACTGCTAATTTTACCCTTCATCATGGCAAGCTTGAATTAATGCAGTAAGTACAATTCTAGCACATCATTTCTGTGCTGGCAGGACTTGACACAGTCTAGTAATAAGGTCTTATTCTTCAGGTGAGGGAAATTAAACCCCAATAACTGCAATAAGCTGCCTAAGCTTCCACAGCTGGAAAAGTAGGAGCGGAATCCATTTGTGTTGATTTTATTCCAAGGGCTCTTTCTGTTATATTATATTGCCCACCTGATCTCCCTGCCTCGGTATCACTCTGCCAACTCCAGACTATCTAACATCCCATAGTATTCCCATCACTGTGTCCATTAAGTTATCTGCTCGCTCAGAATCTTCCATAGGTCTTATCACCTGCAGAATCAAGTAAAGTAGTCCCCCCTTATTCACAGGAGATATGTTCCAAGATTCCCTGTGGATTCCTGAAATCATGGATAGTACTGAATTTTAGATATATTTTTTTGACCTGATAACTGGGAAGGTTACTTAAGGGATTGATAGGCAGGTAGCATAGTGTGGATATGCATATGCTGGACAATGGAATGAGTCACATTCCTGGCAAATGGAGTGAGATGGTGCAAGATTTCATCCTACTACTCAGAATACCATGCAATTGAAAACTTATGAATTGTTTATTTCTGAGATTTTCCATTTAATGTTTTTGGACTGTGGTGAACCACAGTTAACTAAAACTATGGAAAGCAAACCATGGATGAGAAGGGACTACTGTATAAGTTCCCCAGAGTAGTTGGAGGGCCTTTCTTGAGCTGATGATTGTCTTATTCCAGTTCTTTCTTATCCCAGTCTTCTGCTCTAGTCTTGCTGCACCCTTAACATCTACAGGCTGAGATTTTAGTATAGATTCTGAAGCAGATTTGAAGTATCTTATCAGTTATGACATCAGTGTTTTGTAACCTCCAGTCACTGCCACCAGGTATGTGTCTTCTGGGGGTAGAGAGCCAACCCCAACATCAGAAAGAATCTCAAGAAATGAGAAAAGACAATGATTGACATTTAAAAACTATCCTGAGTCCCAAGTATAGTGTCGGCACGGTCACAATCTCATCTCATCCTGTGCCAACCTTGGAAGCAGATGTTGTCTTTATTTCTATAGATGAGAAAACAGAGGCTCATTCAGATTAAGTAATTTGCCCAAGGCTAGAGCTAGATGCAAACCCAAGTTTGTGTGACTCAAGATTAGTATTTAGGGTGTGCAATCCTGACTTTTATGCAAGAGAAAAGGCTTTCAAGCCCAATGGAACCACAGTGAAATCCCAGCTCTGATGCCTACAAGCTGGGTGTCCTCATTCAATATATCTAACCTCTCTGAGCCCCCATTTTCCTTTCTCTAAATGCAGTGGTTTCTTGTGAAGATAACATGAGATACTCAATATGGAAATGTCTAGCAGAGTAGGTTCTTCCCATCCCCTGTGAGAAGAAGTCCACATTTCTGGTCATAGTATTTCTGTATATATACATGTTTCCAGATTGGTTTTTTTCCCTGTTTTAACTGCCTGACTCAGTTAAGTATTTTAGTATTTTAAAACTGTCTTAATTGAAAAACCACAGGTCAATAGCCTCATCCAGGCCACTGAAGATCTAGTAAATGTTCCCCAAATCCTCAAACATGCCCAAGGAAAGAAATGAACCCATCTCTCCAGGATCTGCAGAACAGGAGTTATTCCGTGATCCAGCTACCATGCCCTACTCCCTCTGTCCAGCTCACAAGGAACTAGAGACAGTGCCAGTGGCCAAGACTCTTCCCAGCAAGTTGCCATACTGTAGATCAGTGACATGAGAGGCAGGAGAATCATTTCCTCATACAGTCAGGTCTTAAATGAAGAGGCATGGTTTCTCGGGTAAGACAGCCTCCCCAGTCAAGGGTGGGGAAGGATAGGTAGAAATCTGCCTGGGGAACTTTTTGTGCTTAAGTTGACTTGCTTTATTTCTCTGCTTACCCATGGAACAGGACAGGCCCTAAGGCAGTGTCATTCCTTTGGGAATTCTTTTGAGACTAGGTCGAGCAATGGGGAACTGGGCATAGGTGTTAGAAAGGTGGGTACCACAGTAGGCTAGTGAGTAGTCAATATTTATACCATCACCCAGCTAAGCCCCAAGAGTGAAGTCTTACCATGCTCCATTGTCAAAGGAATAAAGGTTCCAGTTACTGTCTCGGTGAGGTTAGGGTCAGAACTGCAGAGAGGGAAGGGCTATGATTTTGTGGAGATAATTCATGGCACTGAGTGCTTTAACTCCTTGCTGAACTTTGTGTGGCCCAGAGGTCTAGTCACATGGACATCAGCCCAGAGCTTGTAAGAAATGAGAGTTTGTAAAAAATGAGGAATCTCAAGTCCCACCCATACCTAAGGAAGTGGAATCTGCATTCAGCAAGGTCCTTGGGTGTGGTCAAGCACACTCTGCTTCTGCTTCTCTTTTATTCTTTCCTCTAAGAACAAATAGGCCTTCACAGTTGCATCCTGTCTTGTGGAACAAACTCTTATTATTGGCTTTTTAGAGTGGAGACTAGTAGTGACATTGTTGCCTCCCTTCCTTGTCCATTCCTTCAGTGAATAACCGAATTGCAGTTGCCAGTTATATACCACTAAGGTAATGTCATTTCCATGTCTGTGTGGGCTCACCCAGTGTATATCTTTGTTCTTGTTGTGACCCTCAAACCCTGGGTCCAGCTCTAAGCTTCCTTCCTCTTTAAAGTCTTCCACTGCCTAAAATCATCCAGCATTTCCCACCTTTAACTTTTAATGTTCCTAATTTTTATTGCATATCAAGGGATGACTACTTTCTGAGCATCCATATGGTCTTCCCTTCTAGCTTATAGTGTCCTTGAGGCCAGTGGCCATGAGATTGTAGACAAACCCCTGATCCTTCCAGAGCTCTGAGCAAGAGTCTTTGCAGAGTCAGGGAGATGTAAAGTGATGTTGAAGATGTGAACTTAGAAAAATTCAGGCCTGCTTACACAGGAAAGGCAAATCATTCAATGAAAAGATTTTTTCAGGGAATAAAAAAAGAAAGGTCTGGGCTCAGTGGCTCAACCTGTAATCCCAGCAATTTGGGAGGCCGAGGTGAGTGGATTGCCTGAGCCCATGGGTGCAAGACCAGCCTGGGCAACTTGGTGAGACCTTGTCTCTACAATAAAATAAAAAATAGCCGGGCATGGTAGCGCACGTCTGTAGTTCCAGCTACTCAGAAGGCCGAAGCAGGATTGCTGGAGCCCAGGAGGTTGACACTGGGGTGGCTGTGAGCGTGCTTGCCACTGCACTCCAACCTGGGCAAAGGAGTAAGACTCCAACTCAAAAAGGAAAAAAAGAGAAAGAACAAAAGAGGAGAAAGAGGAGGTTAACCATGTGAGCTGGATTGTACCTGAGGCCATTCAGTTTCCTAGGCAATCCTTCAGCAGCACAAAGAGCAAGCTTTCCTAGGAGGTCAACTCACACTTGGTCAAGACACCCTCCTCTGTCAGCCAAGACCCCAGCTCCTGGAAGCCCCCATCTGAGAGGAAGAGCCTTTGTGCACACATACCCAAGAAGGCAGAGCCAGCCATGGCCTATATCACCAAAAGCTGTTGTTCAGACTTGGACCCAGTCACACAACCTGTTGCACAGCAGTTTGGGTTTCCTACTGGATTCAGACTTTGTTCTATTAGTTGAAATCTCCTCTCATTTCAGAGTTGCTTTGTTTTGGCAGTTACTCTGACACCAAATTGCTACCTTTCCCTAAACTTCCTGTCAAACTAGTCTCTCTGCCATGGGATGACTCACTTGGGGGCAGCCATTCATTCTGTGGTTCTGGGTAAGGTCCTTCCACATTGAAATGGGCCACTCACTGTGGACAAGAAAGACTGAGGAGCCACACCAGAATTTCCATTCTTCACTGAGCCAGAATCGCCCTCTTCCCCTACACTAGCTCTATTTATGGCATGTTTGAGCCTTGTCCATTCATTGGCTCATTCATTTGCCTTAGATCTGGACCAGCAAGGTTTAGGCAGAAAGGAGCCTTCAGTTCTTTTTTTTTTCTTTTTTCTTTTTTGAAGCTGGAGCCTCACTCTGTCACCCAGGCTGAGCTCAGCCTTGACCTGTTGGGCTCCGGGGATCCTTCCACCTCAGCCTACCAAGTAGCCAGAGCTACAGGCATGCACAACCACACCCGGCTAATTTTTTATTTATTGTAGAGACGAGGT